GAAACTTATCCGAAACTATCGAATCATTTCGGTGTCCGAATGTAGCCTTCCAATATATGAATCTTTATATCTTGACCATTTCGAGACTCCTCGTCATGTCCGTGATCTCATCCGGGACTCCGAACAAACTTCGGTTCATCAAAACACGAAACTCATAATACAAAGCGTCATCGAACGTTAAGCGTGCGGACCCTACGGGTTTGAGAACTATGTAGACATGCCCGAAACATATCTCCGGTCAATGACCAATAGCGGAACCTGGATGCTCATATTGGCTCCTATATATTCTACGAAGATCTTTATCGATCAAACCGCATAACATCATATGTTGTTTCCTTTGTCATCGGTATGTTACTTGCCCGAGATTCGATCATCGGTATCATCATACCTAGTTCAATCTCGTCACCGGCATGTCTCTTTACTCGTTTCGTCATGCATCATCCCATGACTAACTCATTAGTCACATTGCTTGCAAGGCTCATAGTGATGTGCATTACCGAGAGGACCCAGAGATACCTCTCCGATACACGGTATGACAAATCATAATCTCGATCTATGCCAACTCAACAAACATCATCGGAGACACCTGTAGAGCATCTTTATAATCACCCAGTTACGCTGTGACGTTTGATAGCACACAAGGTATTCCTCCGGTATTCGGGAGTTGCATAATCTCATAGTCAGAGGAACATGTATAAGTCATGAAGAAAGCAATAGCAGAAAAACTAAACGATCATTATGCTAAGCTAATGGATGGGTCTTGTCCATCACATCATTCTCTAATGATGTGATCTCGTTCATCAAATGACAACACATGTCTATGGTCAGGAAACTTAACCATCTTTGATTAACGAGCTAGTCAAGTAGAGGCATACTAGGGACACTCTGTTTGTTTATGTATTCACACATGTACTAAGTTTTCGGCTAATACAATTCTAGCATGAATAATAAAAATTATCATGATATAAGGAAATATAAATACCAACTTTATTATTGCCTCTAGGATATATTTCCTTCAAAGAATCCATCTCGACGATGATCGGCGGCTCACTTATGCATGGCTATAAAAGATTGGGTCTACAAACGTTCACAATCCTACATTAGACAGATATAACTGAGAGAAAATGAGAGAGAGAGAGAGACATTACGGTGCATGGGATGTTTCCCATATGGCTGATGGCTCGCACACAAAATTTACAGCAAAGATGCCTCCCTCCAACACTTTCTTTTTTGTGTGGGGCGGTAGGCAGACATTACCCAGAAAGATACTTATGCATATGATTGGTGTTTCTTGGCCTTGTTTCTCTTTATGAAATGTAAGCACTCATAAGCAGTCACAATATTATTAGTGATGAGTCTCCCTGGCACAAATGCTGACTGCTCATCAGAAATAATCTCAGGCAAAATAATTTTCAGACGGTTGGAGATTACTTTTGAAGCAATTTTATAGAGGACGCTGCAAAGACCGATAGGCCGGAATTGTGATAACAGAGTGGGGATTTTCACCTTTGGGATCAACACCAAGATGGTCTCATTGATACTTTTTGCTGACTCCTTCCCCTCCATAATGTCAAGAACTGCTTTGATAACATCATTCCCACAAATCTACCAATGTCGCCGAAAGAAATGGGCCAGAAAACCATCCGGACCCGGTGACTTAGTAGGGAACATTTGGAAGGGTGCTGTTTTTACTTCCTTTTGAGTGTAAGGAGCATTCAACATGTCATTCATCTCCTGGGTTATTTTGAATGGTGCTTTATTGCATAAGATCAACGTTTACAGGAAATACATAGGATACGTTTGGTTATCCGGCAAGCACTATCTTAGCCTGGCTCAGCAAGGAAGCGAGGGATTTGGTTCCCGAGCGAGCCTGCCTGGTGTCATGTGGTTTCCAGTTTTTTCTTTTTTTGACTTAGCTAGCCAAATCGGCTCGCCTCCGTTGGCAAGGATTGCCTTGCCTGGCGAGGTATGCTGGCGAGCGATCCAAACGCTCCCATAAATGCTCCGGAGGGGAATCTAACCAAACATATGCGTAGCCTACGTAACCAAACATAAACGTTTTTCCTTTTTTTAGGGGAGGAGCGGAATCTAACTAAACTTTTTTTTTGAGGATGGGAATCTAACCAAACATATGTTTTTCTTTTGAGGCAAACCAAACATACGTTAGTCCATGGTTCAGCCCACCGTGACGTGCCTATCGAAGATCCAACTGAAGCGGGCCGGCCTGAGCTCGCTACGGGCCGCCCTTTGGTGTGCCAGCTCCTCCATCCTCCGGATCTTGGGCGGCAGCCCGCACACGTACTCCTGCGCCCGGCGGCCCTCTCCAGAGAGTCCGGCGAGCTCCGCCACCCGCCACCTGCGCACGAAGTGCTCCACCAGATCGCCGTAGTCCCTCGCCGTGTACACGCCGGCACTCTGCGCCACGGCGGAGAACCGCTCGAACAGGCTGTTCTCGCCACTGGCGGCGTCGCGGCCGTCGGACATGAGCAGCCCCGGCATGGTGACCTTGCCGCGCATGACGTGCGCCAGCGCGCGCACCATGCCGTCGGGGTCCAGCTCGAAGAGCTTGGCGCACACCCTGGTGTAGCCCGCCTCGTGCCTCTTCTCGTCGGCGGCAATCACGCCGCAGATCTTGGCGAGCGCCTGGTCGCCGTGCTGCCCGGCGAGCCTCGCCGTGTGCACGTGGGAGACGAAGGTCGCGCGCTCCTGGAACGCGCCGTAGATCACGCTGTGGTACGGGCTCTTGGGCACCAGCATCTCCTTCATAGCAAAACAACATATATAATGTTTTAATTAATCAGTGCACAAGTTTGTAGTGCACTGAGTACGTACGGTGCAACTGTGTTTATGCGCGTACGTACCATGCCGTTGCGGAGGAGGTGGTGGACGGTGGTCTCGACCTGGCGCATGTCGACGCGGCCGGAGAGGTAGAGGTAGCGGTTGAGGAGGTCGCCGTGGCGGTTCTCCTCGGCCGTCCAGCCGCGGATCCACTGCGCCCAGGGGAGGCTGCTGGCCCCGGTGTCGTCCGCGATGCCCTCCGTGCGGTTCCCCATGCTCTGGTACGACGGGAGCGCCTCCTCCGTCACCATGTTGCCCACCAGGCAGACCAGGACCTCGTCGGGCACGCGGGCGGCTCCCGCGCGCAGCGCAGCCACGCCGTCCATGAAGGCGGACAGAGCCTCCTCCTCCGACGCGCCGGGCGTCGCGGCGGAGCACGGCATGAAGTCGTGCGGCTGCCACGAGGACTCCACCGGGTTGAGCAGCGGGAGCATGTTCTCCGCCACCCAGCCGTTCAGCGACTGCACGATCTCCGCCTGCTCCCGCGGCACCGGCGCGCACCCCATGTCGATGCTCCTCGGCGGGGCCTCCACCGCCGCGGCCGCGGTCCATCTCCTCGCCAAACTGGCCGCAGCAAACTTAATTAGTTAGTGCAGACACTACATGAACGTTAATTAGGAGCAAAGTTACAGCTCGCGAGGTGTACACTTGGATGCACATACCGGCACCTAGGATTTGCAGGACAGAGGATCCATCCGAGGCGCGTGGCTCTCCCCGAGCCCGCGTTGCTCTTGTCGGAGAAGAAGAAGCAGGAGAACTTGGTCGACGTGCCTACTGCTAGCCCCAGCTTCGCCATCGATCACAAACACTCGTATTTTGCTGGATTTGTGAATGATTCTGTACTTACACACGGTGCCTGTCTTCTATATATAAAAGGAAATGAAAGGATAGTGGGGCTGCCATGCAACCCATGCATAGGCCCTCCGTTTCTAAATATATGTCTTTTTAAAAATTTCAAATAGACTACTACATACGGATGTATATAGACATATTTTAGAGTATATATATTCACTCATTTTACTTCATATAGAGTCACTTGTTGAAATCTCTAAAAAGACATATATATTTAGGAATGGGGGGAGTACACCCCTTGTCCAATGGAGAGAGGAGAGAGAAGGGAGAGAGAGGGAAAAAATGGGCTAGTGATGGGGCCAAGACTCGTCCATAGTGTGTTCGGACTCCCCCAAACATACTACTCCCTTCATTCCAAAATATAGTGCGCCCGCGCTTTCCGAGATTCAACTTTGACCATAAATTTAACCAACGAGACCAACTGCGGTGGGAGAAAAAAATTATATAATTGAAAACTTCATTCGAATACAAATTCACTGATATAGTTTTTGCTCCCGATGCAATCGATCTTGGTAGTTAAATTTATGGTCAAAGTTGAAGCACGTGGATAGAGAAAGCTCTACATTATGGAATGGAGGGAGTACACTTTTGCCTTCGATTTGTGAATTTTTAAACCGAACAATATTCATCAACGGTACGTCATGAGCTCACTTTGGTCACCCGAGCATGACAACTCTATATGGACATTTGATGTTCCCCGTTGGATAACAAATCATACGGTCTAGATATTTAGAGGCTTTCGAGGTTCCAACGTTAAAGATGCCGTAATAATGCTCAACAGGGACCGGATATGGCAAGAACATAGGAGTATGGAACAGCCAACCCAATGAAATGAATGCGCTACGACATCAATGGCGCACATGCATGGCATTTTTTCGGCAGAGTCATCGTTCCTGAATTGCACAGTCCCAAGAGCCATGTATAGCTTATCACCATACAACGATACAAAGGCAAGTAGTATGCCTCATCACTTGATACTAGCCATAATGGGTAAAAACATATATGTATGATGTTACTATCTACTCCCTCTGTAAATTAATATAAGAGCATTTAGATCACTAAAATAGTGATCTAAACGCTCTTATATTAGTTTACGGAGGGAGTATATTACTGACTTACTTTCACTGTGGGTAGTCTGAGAGCGTCTATATATACTCTTCGCCATGTTACGGCCTAAAAGGGAATGTCTCCACGAGGCCCGGGCGTTGCATGTACCTGCACCGGCACCCGAATTTGCAGGACGATCTTTCAAAAAAAAGAAAATAAGAGAGAAGCCCGTAGAGTTTGCAGGACTGAGGGTCCATCCGAGGCGCGTAGGTCTCCACGGGCCCGTGTCCCTCTTGGTGGAGAAGCCCACTGCTGGCCCCAGCTTCGTGTCGACCACCAATACTCGTATTGTTGCTAAATTTAGGAATTGTTCACAACTTGCACACACGGTGACCGTATACCGGCGAAACCGCCAAAGTACGATGGAAAACAGGAAGAGGGGGCATATGGAACAGCCAACGCAATGGATGGGCCGTAAAGCTAGGGCATCAATGGCGCACATGCACCTATGACAGATCGTCAGTACTAGTTTCGGCGCAAGTGCTGATCACCCCTGCCATGCCTGTGAGCATGGGCTCACGTTTAACTCCCTCATTGACATGCAAAGGAAATCAACAACCAAACTCTAAGAGCATTAAACGTTTCCAACCCACCCCTGCCATGTCTGTGACTCCATGCTCACGTTCAATATGGGCATCCCAGGTGGACCCTCAAACCTCGTCCGGACCACAGTGTTCGGATCACTCTTGTCATCCAACGAAAACATGTATGTGTCCACTTAACAGTCCTGACTACGGATTCCGGTATCCAAAAGACAAACGGCAGGGTGAGGGGCTTTGCTGGAGTCCGGACATGCACTTACCAATCATACTGGCGGAGACAGGCACATGCATGGTCTCTATCTACCTTTTCTCCTCCCAAGCGAATACTTTGTGATTAGTATGAGATGGCTCCCTCCCGCCTCAGCTTCACGAAGAACGTCCGGACATATACCGGAGACATTTGCAGGCCAGCCTTGGAGATGCCCTAACTCACATAGTACTCCCATTCATGATGGAGTACAGAAGAAATCAACAAGCACACTCTTCTTTTTGAACAACTCAACCACACTAAGGCCAACTCTAGCCCATCCCCTAAAAATAGAGGAGCAAAAAGACAGAGTAAACTTGGTGGAATATTACTCCACTAAATTTTGGCCTAATCTAGCCGAACTCCTAAATTTAGCGGAGTAAAAAGGAAATTTTCATAAGTTCAACATAGATTCGATTTAAACGAACTTCTAAATCGAAGTTCGACACATAATGTACATAAGCATCCGCCGAAACATAGTCTAGTTTAAACCTAAACATCAACTTGAACTTAAAACCAAACATAATTTACATTAAAAATCACCTAAGCATAATAATCAAACTAAAAACCTTAATCGTCGGACTTATAGAGGGCGAGCCATTGCGCCCGCAAAATCCCACCACCCATGGGGTCCATCCCTATGCCGTCATTGTCACAGTCGAGGAAAAATCCTTCGCCATTCTTCAACGTCGAAGTCGTCGTTGGCGCCGCAGTCCACCTCGTCGTCCGAGAGGACGATGACCTCCCCGTCGGGGTACTAGCGACGGAGGTCCGCCATGTACTCCTCCTCGGCGGCCTCTGCCGCGATGTGCTCCCTCGCCTCCCGGTCCTTATTAGCCACCACCGCACTCACCACCCCCGGCGGCGGGTGGCCGAGCTCGTCGGGCGCCTCGCCCCACGGGGGGTTGAGGTGGGCAGCGGTGTCATGCAACCGGTCATACTCGTAGGTGGCGAGTTCGGCCGCGTGGAAGGAGTTGATCCCGTGCTTCTTGTGGGTGTCGCGATCGGTGATCTCGGCCACTCACGTCTCCCATGCTTATTGCTGGACGCCAAAGTACTTCATGTGTGGTTGCCGTGGGGTGGGGAGGTCGGGGAAGTGGGCGAGCCGGTGGGATGGGGCCACATCATCGTGGCGGCGACTTGAGGACGTGCCCGCGTTGCGGATGGGCGGCACAGACCGACGACCACGAGATCTTGCCATTGGGAGGAGGGGACGGCAGGGTGGGGGTGGGGGAGGGTCACCTGTGGCAGGGATTGGGGAGGAGGAGAGACAGAGGAGGGTGGGGATTTTTTTTACTTAGCCACTGAATAGTGGAGTAAATATAGGCGCCGAATACGTGGTGGAGGAAAAGTTATCCTCCTCTATGGGTTTTAGGGGTTCGGCTAGATCCCGATTAGAGGAGTAAAACTGGGATTTTCACTCTTCTACCAGTTTTAGGGGATCGACAAGAGTTGTCCTAAATAAAGAGACTTAAACCCGGTCTGACTGGGAGCCCTCACAAAGGTCCTCTACTGCGAGTGTGTGCCATCTGGGCCCATCTTTGGCCCACTTGCCCCCAATTCGTGAGGAAAATATCAGTTGCTCTCACACTTAAATGCTTTCATGCTCCAAACTTCTCAACAGAAATTTTAAATGTTTCATAAAAGAATATTCCCTAGACATATGTCTCCAATTCCTAAACATTTCAAATCCAACTTCTAAGTATACGAAGGGAAACAAAGAAAAATTTGCATGAATAGTAGTATCATAGAAAGACAGAAGCAAAAAACAACACTATTCACATCTGATTTCTCTTTTTTGTTTCTCCGTGTATATTTCAAATATAGATTTGACACTTTAAAGGAATGTGGACACTTGTCTTGTGAACATTCACATTGTTTTGAATGTTTTGAAACATTAAAATGTGTTTTTTGAATGATGGCAGTATGGGAACATTGGAGGCATGGGAGCACGTGATATGTTATCACACACCAATTTACACATTGGAGTGTTGCACTTGTGTAGGATCGAAAGTATGTCTAGAGGGGGGTGATTAGACTACTTGACCAAATAAAAACTTAACCTTTTCCCAATTTTAGTTCTTGGTAGATTTTAGCTAATTTAGGACAAGTCAAGCAATCATCACATAATTCAAGCAAGCATGCAAAGAGTATATAGGCAGCGGAAAGTAAAGCATGCAACTTGCAAGAATGTAAAGGGAAGGGTTTGGAGAATTCAAACGCAATTGGAGACACGGATGTTTTTCCCGTGGTTCGGATAAGTGGTGCTATCCTACATCCACATTGATGGAGACTTCAACCCACGAAGGGTAACGGTTGCGCGAGTCCATACAGGGCTCCACCCAAGGGTAACGGTTGTGCGAGTCCACACAGGGCTCCACCCACGAAGGGTCCACGAAGAAGCAACCACCCACAAAGGGTCCACGAAGAAGCAACCTTGTCTATCCCACCATGGCCATCGCCCACACAAGACTTGCCTCACTAGCGGTAGATCTTCACGAAGTAGGCGATCTCCTTGCCCTTACAAACTCCTTGGTTCTACTCCACAATCTTGTCGGAGGCTCCCAAGTGACACCTAGCCAATCTAGGAGACACCACTCTCCAAGAAGTAACAAATGGTGTGTAGGTAATGAACTCCTTGCTCTTGTGCTTCAAATGATAGTCTCCCCAACACTCAACTCTCTCTCATAGGATTTGGATTTGGTGGAAAGAAGATTTGAGTGGAAAGCAACTTGGGAAGGCTAGAGATCAAGATTCATATGGTAGGAATGGAATGTCTTGGTCTCAACACATGAGTAGGTGGTTCTCTCTCAGAACATATGAGTTGGAATGGTGTATGTGTTCTGATGGCTCTCTCCATGAATGAAGAGGAGGTGGAGGGGTATATATAGCCTCCACACAAAATCCAACCGTTACACACAGTTTTCCAATCTCGGTGGGACCGAATCAACAAACTCGGTCGGACCGAAAATGTAAACCTAGTGACCGTTAGAGATTTTCGGTGGGACTGACATGCAACTCGGTAGGACCGATATGGTTAGGGTTTGG